CAAACCCACATCTGTTACATTTATATATTCACATAAGATTTTCATGTGTGACTACAACACTGTTGAATATTGAGCTTTTTACACAAGGAGCATGGAGTAAGGATACTGCACATGAGTATCCAATGCAGCACTGGTACTAGTGAATTTCTCTTAACAGCCATATTTTCATTGCGTTCTTAGATTGTGACTCAGTTCAACATTTAGTTGGTGGCAATAGTGGGGTATATCAAATACAACCTATCGGAGTGTTACAGCCCTTTGATGTGTACTGTGAAATGACAGAGTCTGGAGCATGGACCGTCATACAACGTAGACAAAGTGGTTATGTTGGCTTCTACAGAAACTGGGACGAATATAAAGCCGGATTTGGAAACATCGACGGTGAATACTGGATAGGCAATGACAACATTATCTTGACTAACCAGTCGTCATACAAGTTGAGAATAGACTTAGAAAAGTTTGATGGAGACACTGCTTATGCTGAGTATGATGCGTTCAGTGTGGAAGATGAAAACAGTAACTACATATTGCATTTGGGAAATTGTTCAGGTACGGCTGGTGATGCAATGAGATGGAATGACAATACTGAGGCTGATGGTCAACCATTTACAACTTATGACAGAGACAATGACAATGCCGTTCATCCCATAGCTGGTGCTAGTAGTAATTGTGCTCAAGAATACCATGGTGCGTGGTGGTTCAATTCATGTTCATCGGCCCATTTGAATGGAATCTACTATCCAAATGAGGATTACGAAATCGATTCTATAATGTGGAAAACATGGAATAATTTTGTCGCTTTAAAATCATCTACTATGAAAATACAGGATACTGCTTAGAAAGTCAAGGGTACTCATAATTACTGTCAATAACTTATATTACCCAATATGTACGTCAATGTATATTAGTACATTCGGATATTCCTCACTAGTGAAACACAGTCTGTTCTGTTATAATACTATATTTCAAGGCAATCTACCGAACTGTTCGTACAAGTTGATTGTTTGACAGATGCTGAATTGTTCGAGTTACGGACATCGAGTTACAAAAATGACCATGCCCATATTGTCACAAACCACGCACACTTTTGCGAAACCACGAACTCGAACTGTTAATAACAGTTAACCGAACTTTGAGTTACGGGCAACACGTATTTCTATTTTTGTTAAACGTCCATATTTAGTAACTGGAACTGTTAATAACAGTTAACCGAACTTCAAGTTACGGGTAACACATATTTTTTTTTGTTCAATATTCTTTTCTTTTTTTTAAATAAAGAGATAAATCTCGAGAAATACAGAGCAATATTTAAGATATTCTCTTGAATATTCAGATTTCGTCAATGAATTAAATTATTTGAAAAGATTGTTATTTTTGATTTCTTGAAACCAGATTGCTATTATATTGACAAGGCGCTGGTAACTGGTCGGTTCACTCGGCTTTGTACATTTCACGATAGTATCTCCGGTTTTCCGTTTGTAGTAAATATTTATACTCATTTCATGTGAACTTTGTAATTCTTACTCACCTGTACATAACCTTTGAAATACATCTCATAGAACATGAAATGGATGCATGTATGTATGCGTGTGTGACATGCAAATGCGTTGTTCCTGTTAAAAGTTTGAATGCAATCGGTAAACACATTAGAGATATTGTTCTGTGACAAAAATATATACAAAAATTTCTATCGGTTGGCCAATAATATCACATCAGTTAAACCAAATGATTTGAATAGATGCCCTACGTATACATTGAGATGGTGGAAGACCCCCCCCCCCCCAGTTTAGAAAACAAATTCACAATCAATTGTATCGGTGTGTACTATTCTGTTTTTCAAGATTATGAGATAATGCAAATTTGTCACTTCAACATCAATTTTAAACGGGGTACTGAACATGATATTGCAGTTTCTTGCCACGAATTGTAGGTGGATGTGAACACAAATAAAATCATTCCACAATATTTAGTATAAAAAGTAAACATCGTCAGGAATGAGTAATACTAGACATACCGAGTGTATGCAAATTTAAGTGCATTTTATAATGCTGTTTTTTTTTACATTGGATGGATATATAGTATACCGATTATCAACAAAATGAGTTAAAGGTCATATATGTTCAAAACAGTACCAAAACTTACCATAACGAGCACTTTCATTTTATTACTGTACAAACAGAGAACTCGTACGTTTTAAACGTGTCAAAATACATATGCCGAACGTGCATATATTATGTTCTTCAACATAACTATATACAAGAAATTTACATATATTTAACATATCACTATCCTATTTCAATGTGACATACCCTAGCCAATTCTGCAAAAATCCTACCGTTTCCTCACGTACTATATAACAATATAGGTTAAAAACGAAGAAATAGGTAGAAATGCATATTTACATAGTTTAATTTTTATCTGATATTTATTTGACTTATTAAGTGCTAATGTCAATGTGTTCGTATATTAAATCATGCGCTATTAGTGAACTATTTTCATTGTCCTTTCCTGTACGTGTAGTATTATCATATATACCATGGTCACCAGTGCGACTGTGGCTTTCTTCCTCCTCTTCCTCTGTTGTGGATTATTCAAATTAACAGGAAACATAGTGGCAGGGGTACCAATGTCAAAGCTAGTGACAGGCCTGGTGACCGAGGCATTAATGACAAACATGCTAACAAGACATGAATGATGAGAGTAACTACTAGGTGATTCGATAGTGTGAGGGATAGTGACATTGACTTTATCTAAAAAGTGTTTCGCTTTAAGGTAGCGAGACTATTATTTGTGTTGAAAATTACGATTTTCACATTTATTACTAATTGATGAAATGCACTATGAACTTTCATCTGATAAAGTCAACGTAACCTAGAATGTCATGTAAGTTGGTTAAAATGTAGATTTTCTGAAGGGAAGCAAGGCAGCTTCAGTAGTGTTTTACAAAATCAACAACACAGGTTTAATCTATGTGCCTATAAGTTTCAAAGATTAACTCAAGATAAAGCAATGTTAGGATGTGTCATCAGTAGCTATCTGACACACAATGAGTGTTTCCAAACATTTGAGTGGTTTGTCTCCGCCCCTGTTTATTTCACAGATTAGCATTTGCATATGAATGTGTCAGACACAAGGTCACACAGCCACTGAAAAAAAATCATTGATTTTGGTGTTTTCATCTGCCGATTTTATCGAATTATAGCTACCCCATTCCTTTATTTTTTGGTTTCCAATAGCCTTATACATTTGAATGCCCCTACAACATGTTAAAACAGACCTTGATGTGAAAACAAATCGCTTGTGCCGATAAACAAGCTTGAAAATCTTTGCTGTGACTTCATCAACGATTTCGTCGGATTAACACCAAATTTTCACAGCTCTAAGGTGACAATGAGAGGAACTTGAATGTGTCTAGACAAACTATTTCATGGATTATTTACCAATGTGTTGTGGTTTGAGTTGGGGGCAATGCGACTAAAACAGAAATTAAAATTCAGGACACTACTTTTCAAACGCGTTGCTTGAATAAAACTGACCAGACCATTCAATTTACCAGACTATTGACACTAGGAAAATTGAAAAAAA